ATAAAATTCTAGCTGAAAAAAATATTCGTTATAATAGCACTTTCGGTTTATTGAGGTTCGTTATATCGAGGTTATACCGTACTTTGGATGAATATGAAGATGTTAGATACTTAGCGGAGCGTGCGGTAAAAAAAGCATTAAAAAAAATAAATAATTCTGATCGAAGAGAGAAAGTATCAGAGATTCTACCCCAGGTTAGTAATATATGTTAGGCTTTTCAATATCTATAATTTGCATGGAATGATGAATTTACAGCAGATGGGTGAGCTGTATATATAAGTGGTCATTGCTAAGGACCGGGGAATGCCGGCCCGGAAGAGTGATGTGGTGAAGAATTTTTCTCTTCATGATGTTGAGGGTTTCTGCTCCCCCCTGGCTGTGCGTGGCTATAATATAGCTCATTATTCATTGAATAATTATATCTGATTATACACGTGTATATTTTAGCGTTGTTTTTTTTTAGAAAATGTGATCACAAATCTAACTTATGTTTATCTGCTGTAGATGGAAATTGGATATAAAAACGTTATGGGCTTAAAAACATTAAAAGCGTTGAACACACCACAAGAATCAACCCCGATTATACGCGAGAAGAGATAGAGGAAAATCTTGAAGCATTAAATTCAAAACTTGGCGCCCCTATATCAAATAAGAATACATCACTTTATAATGCTCTCAAGAAAGGTATAGAAAAAATAGATATTTCTGAGCACAACTGGCAGAATCCGCTATCAAGTACGGTTATTAGTGATGAATCTCAGTTGGTAAAGAATTTAAAACAAAGGCAAAGACGTACTTTTTTGGTAATAATAATTTAGTGATATATAAATTGTATTTATATTAGCAACAATGATTCGAAAGTTTTATGTTTTGCACTCTTAATATAATTTCATCGATTTAGGAGCCACGAGAGGATATGAAATGTGAAATCCCGGAGCTGATTTATTCTAAGTATGATGAGTTCGTGAATAATTTTAATAAGACAGAAACAGATATTCTGAATGATCTTACTCATGATAAGACATGGAAGGAGAATGTGATTGAGTTGGAAAAAGTAGCAAAACGAATATTTAACACATTGTAAATAATTGTCTTTTTTTATAATCGTATGTAATTGTTAGATTGAATATTAACCCATACTTATATCTATAAATTTAGAGGGGAGATATGGAATAATCCTGCTTTTGAAACCAGTATGTCCTGAAATGAACAAAGTGAAAGAACCTATATATCAGATGTCATTATGTCTTTGCTTCGAGCCACCTTAAGCAATTTGCCAAATGGACATATTTGTTTAAGTACTACTAAGCGTCAGAGCTAAGCAAGTAAGTTATGTATAAATGATGGAGCAGGTAAGAGAAGAATAGGCAAAAAACCTAATATTATGGCATTAGAAAAGTGTGAAGGAAAGCTGGTAGAATATCTATATTTAGAGAGTTCACGTATTATCTGCAATGATACTAAAAAGAATGATGATGAGACAAAGTTATGGAGAGAATTGTTGGACAGGATTAGTTATATAAATAGCGCATGTAGATCTACTAGTAACCAGTTTGGTGTGGTTAGAATTCAGGTGGCCAGTGAAAAGATATCTTTAAATGTCCTGATAAATGATGTAAGCGGAATCCCAAGATATTTTCATGTAGATCATGCAAAAATTCCACTAACTTCTAGCATATCATGGCGGGTAAAGCCCCTAATGCGGTTACTGTTAACTTTAAGAAATATTATAATAGTGAACAAAAGTCTGCTTATTCAAGCATTAAAGCAGGCTATTTCACACCCACCTCGTAATGTTCACCCAAGTCCTGCCGTCTTTTCACTATGTAGGGAGGAATCAGGACAAAAAAGACCTAGACAAAATAGTAAAACCAGAAGGTTAACAAAACAAAAAAGTGCACATTTTTAGAATACGTCTATATTTTACTTTTATTTTTTACTTTTATTTTTTTACTTTTCTTATCGTATCAATAAAGCTGGCCCTGGTGGCTGATTTCGCATACATAATCACGTTTACTTTTGCATGTATATTTCGGGAATTTATTTATTGTATCGCGGGCTATGTCCTGATCTTGTATTTATTTTTGCATGTATGAATAAAAATTTTCTTGGTAAATTTCGCTTATGAGCCATGAGGAAAAACACATAATTTTTTTATTTTGAATATATTGCATAATTTGTAAAAAGTAATGACAAACACTCACTCCGTTGATTCATTAAGAGAATTAAATGCTAAACTCTTAGCTGAAATTGTAGAGCTTAGAAAGGAGAATGCTAAGATCCCTGATCTTAAAAGGAAGTTAGCCGAGTTTGAATTAGAGAAAGTTGAGCTTAAGGCCAGGCTTTCTGAAGCCCTAAGTCAGGCTGTGGAAAAGAGTAAGAGATGTAATGCTGAGAATGCTGAACTCAAGACTAGAATTGAGAAGTTGAAGAAATGTAAGGTAGATTCTTCAACCGAAAATGTTAGACGCGATGTTGAGTTTGCTGAGCTAAAGGCCGAAGTAGTGAAACTAGCCAAAGACACTCAGGCAAGGGATGGCAATAAGGAGAGCAAACAGCCAGCCCAAGATATTTTTCCCGAAGTAATTGTCAATATACCTAGCACTATTATAGATCAGTGTAATAAGGGGTTCCAAAGAGACCAGGTCACTTTTCCGCTATCTTGTGTGAGTGATCAGAAGTCATTGGAGGACAGGGAGTTTAACATATCTAATTCTGATATATATCAGGATTCAGTAACCTCCACATCTCCCGTAGAAACCATATCATTGGAAGAGAAGGAAGAAAATGATTTCCTGAATTCAAAGCATAGAGAAACAGTTAGTAAAAAGATAATTCAAAATATTAAAGAGAAGAAGCTTCGAGATCAAGAATTATCCACTATATTGGTCTCACTTTGTGAGGATGCTTCTGCATCTGAAGAAACAAAAGTTTCGCATGATTATATACTCACCCAAGATTTTATACAAGAAGTGTCTTCAGGGTTCACAGATAAGGATATTATCGAAGTCATTGATGAAAACTTAATACTTACTACCAATACGACAATAGAAGTTGAGCTAGCTTATTTGTTTCTAAAAGTAAGTATTGAAAGAAAAAATACTATACAAGCTAAACAGAAAGAGATTTCATGTCGTTACTCATATGGGAAAAGATTTGAAATGGGAGTTCAAGAACTTATAGTAAAAGAAAACATTTCAGAACAGACAGCAAGAAAATGATTATTTCAGGATATAATAAAACACTTTTCTGGAATAACTTTGGAAACCTTACATAAAAGAACCCAAAGATCTATAAAACTTTACAAATTACTCGAAAAGATAGGTGTTGATAAGATTAAGAATATCAAGACATTCAGTGCAGATTCTATTTCAAAGTTTACACAACCTCAAATTCAAATAATTCTGGATTACTTTAGTGAAAGTGAAAAAGTGAGACCAAAAGTCCCACTTGAGCAAAATAGCGCAGTCAATTCTGTATTTAATACAAAATCTACTAATATTATTAGCAGAGCCGACATGACCAAGAAGATCTCACCGATAGCTCAGGCAAGTGCACCACTTATATTTAAACCAGAAGTCAATGTAAATGTACTATCCACATCCCATTAGGGATGGCAAAGTCAGTCTAGGTCCGGTCTTGGTCCTAGGACTTGTAAGTCCTGCTACACGGACCTTCAGACCAGGTCCTCATATAATAAGTCCTAGAGCTTAGCTCAAATAAATTTGTTGACAACTTCGTTAGTGCCTATATTCCAATAATCACATGTACTAGTATAAAAAAATGAACAATTCTATCAAGGTTAGTCTAAAACTAAGTACTTGAATTTAGTTATAAATACTTTCTAGCCAATTAGAATTTAATTTCATTATCATATTGTGAATGCTAATTAGTTAAAAAGCATATTATTATATGATATCTACTATTATTCTAAATAAATTGCTATCAACATAGCATTATCAACATAGCTATAATTAGCATTAACTTTATCAAGATAGTATAGCTAGCGATTAGTATTAGATATTGTAAAATTAAATGAATTATATAGATTATGTGTTACTGTGTCTAGTATTTATCTTTTAATAATTTAACTAGTCAAATTATAGAATCTGGCATTACCATTGTTGCTAATCTATTATTTGTAAATGATATCTATCAATAGCTCAGATTGTGTAGTATATTTTATTTTATTTACTAACAAATCTAAAAATAATTATCTAGATATAAGATTACAAAATATTATTTTATATATTAGGACCTATTGTGAACTTATGAACCTAGGTTCTAAAATTGAGACCTAGTCTTTAAAAAATAGGTCTCAAGACCAGGTTCTAAAGTCCTAGACTCAAGAACTTTGCCATTCCTACCCACCAGAGCCTTTTATGTTCTATTTTGGCTGACCCGATACTGCAGTTGCCAAGGTTTCCTCTCATAGTTAGGGTTATCTCTATTTAATCTCTACACCCTTATGAAGTTCACTTTAACCCCGGCATCTCTATTCGGACTTCCTTTTTTTTTAGATTCTTAACTGGTCTCTTCTTTATTTCTAACTAGCAACCTGGAGGGTTGGTTTCTTCAGACATTAGATACTCTATGGGTATCCTCCTCTTGGTATATACTTTCAAAGCACATGTTCTTTTCCTCTGATTTTGGTAACTTGGTGGTTTGGCTAGTGTGTCCCTCCACTTAAAGACCTGGTTATTTGGTTCTCTGGTTTCAAGTTCTGTCTTCTTGTAGCACCATTAAAAGTTTTCATTATCTCCTTACTCGAGACTTCCCAAATGGGTTTCAATTATCACAGTTTCTTGGCCTTTTATACGCTAAAGCTCCCATATAATTATGGTATTACCAAGATTACAGGTTCTGGGACCCAACTAATCGACCATGACCATCACCATATTACAGGCTTATTTTTCAAAAACATTATCTATGGGATTCAAACTTTAAACCTGCTGCTTGATGAGGTGATGACTAGACCACTTCACTAAGCCGCCATACTCTCATTACACCTTTTAATTTATATTTAACTATTTTGATATATTTTAAATTTATGTGAAATAATTTGAATCTATTTTATTTTTTGTTAAACTGATTTAATTTTTAAAAAATATATTTATTTACTAAATATTTATTAGTTTTATTAAAGTATAGAATTATATAAACTTGATTTTTAATTGATTCAATATCTATGATATTAAATAAATCAGTATTTTTAAGTCTAGAGTATCTATAATAAAATAGATTCTTTGTAGACTTAAAATCATATCAATGAATTAATATGAAATGATACGTATTTTTTTTAATAGTTTTAACTTTGATTAATAAATATATCTAAAAAATTAAATATTAAAAATTTAATATTTTAAAAAATTTAATAAAA